AGCATATCTAGCCAGCTCTAATTGCAAGATATCTTAATATTACCGCTGAACAATATCACATGAAAAAACCACCAACCAGAATCTCGATTAATATGACTTAAAATTTGTAAATTTTGAACAACATATGTAAGCGAACAATATTGTTTCCGATTAGATCCTCACCAGGCTTTACTCTAATATACAGTAATATTTATATGCATATACGAAATTATGAAACCAATCAAGGTAGTTTATGAATCATTGATAATAATGGAAAATAAGTGGAAATTACAGGTGTACTAGTTTTGATAAGAATAATAAAGGCTTAAATCAATTTTAAACAATCGGAAATAGGTCAATGACTAGAAAAAAATATAGGGGATCCGATTGCATTTAAGGTACTCAGTGAGTTCCTAAGGTTGAATGCTCGTCTCACAGAAGCGAAAATATCGTTGGAATTTATTAATGACTGTATACGGACTGAGAGATATCCTAAAATATATTGGAAATCTTTACGCCGAAACAAAATTTATCCTAATGCTAGGACCCTTAAACGACAAACACTCGACCAAGCAGATTCATAAAAATGCACATAAACAATCTGGAAAGAAATCTTTCACAAAGAGAATCTATGGTCGATAACCTACCACAGGAAATAAAATCACAATTTATGGATTATATTAACATGGTAGCGAAAAGTAGACTAGAAAAATTAGAGACAAAACTAATTCAGTTACTGGAACCTCATAAACCTGGAAGAAAATTTCCTATGGACCCTGAGCGGTACGTTCATAACTTTTCTAGTGTTACGTTAGACATAGTGCAAGTAGAGGCTTTGTCGCTCGGACCTAGATTTTGTGACTATGGAAATAAAATAAATCAACCAGATACAGATGTGCAGTTTGAAAATCTATTTACACACAATAGATTTGGTGCTCACTTCACCAGATGAACTCACTACGTTTATGATCACGTTAGTGGACATCTGTCAACAATACAAAAATAGTAAATGTACCGTGAAAACTCCACTTACCAAACACAGAGATGCTTTACATATGCTTACAAAAGACAAAACTCGAATCATAAGCAAGCTGGACAAAGGAGGAGAGCTAGTTCTCATGAACATAGCCGATTACATTGACAAAATGAACTCGATTTTGAATGATCCGACTAAATTTCAAAAACTTAACGGCGTGAAGAAAATAAATATGAAGGCAGAAAAATTGCTGACCAATTCATTTAAGGAATTAAAAAATAAAGGTATGCTAACTCCAAATATACACGACTCATTTAAACCCACTGGATCGGATTCATCGCGACTATATTGTCTACCCAAATTTCACAAGACATATCTTTCTCTTCGCCCAGTTTTAGATATGTATAATTCGCCTTATCATAAAACTACAAAGTGGGAAGTCCGAATCTTAGATCCCTTACACAAACTAGTCGTCAACAGAAGCGTGAAAGACGTCTTCGATTTCATTTCTGAAGTGGAACATATGAACTTAAATGGAAAATGGATGATATTTCTAGATGTTGCTTCCCTGTTCAACAATGTACCTTTAACTGAGACTATTGAATTGGTGTGCCAACAACCACAGGAAATGGAAATCTTGAGGTTAGTCTCAAGGAAGTACTTTCGAAATTTACAATGAATGTCCATTTTGTCTTTAATAACACATTATAGACAAATTGATGGTATAGCTATGGGTTCACTTCTAGGTACTATCCTTGCGGATTTTTTCTTGCGAAACTAGCAAACGGACCTCTCAAATAGGTTATCAATAAGTTTGACTTCTACTGTCGTTACGTTGATGACGCTTTCATTATTATCGACCAGAATATTAGAAAAGAAGAACTATTTAACAACAAACACCCACCAATCAAATTAACACGTGAAGAGGAAATGGGTAATAAACTTCATTTTCTTGACGTTTTGTTAAATAGAAAAAATGGTTCTATCGGTAGAAATGTGTCTAGAAAAAGCTCTTCATCAAGCCAATACACACATTTCTTAAGATTCCTACTTCATTATAAGAGAAACGTAGTCAAATGTCAAATAAATAGAGCTATTACGATATGCTCAGTCGACACAATTGATAAGGAATTAGAGCTCATTCCTAATATGTTAATTGAAATGGGCTATCCACAGGGTTTCCCGAAGAAACACTTGCGTGTAAAAAATAAGAAAATAGCGACATAAACGGCCAGTAAGAAACCTATTTTCTTGAAGCTGCAATCCAATGAAGATAGAGCTGGTGATGTATTACGTGACAGACTGACTAGAGCAGTGAAGAGAGCGCTTAATGCAGCCAACCTCTATCGTATTCGACCCGATCTATGGCGATTCCCCAACTAAAGGATAAGTTACCTGGTTATGCCACTTCTATGTGTATCTACGAATTCAGCTAATCCTGTGGAGAAAGCTATATTGGGTGCACTACCCGGCAATTGAACCAAAGAGTTACTGAACACCTTCCTTCGCGGTTAGAAAAAGGTAATGTCAAGGCAATACGCAGCTCGGTTCTATCACACTTGATCGATAGCGGTCATGTAGTGGACAGAAACAAGTCAGTAGTAAGCCACAACAGTAGTCCTTCAGTAAATCAAAAGCTTATGATAAAGGAAAAACATATATTTGTCGTCTAGTTAATTAATGACTAAACAGAAAAACTAAACAATAGTAACCCGGAAAACCCAGTTCCAATTTTTACAATATCCGTCCCGTCATAACTTATCTAACTAGGTTTCTCATATAATCAATAGGTACAAAGTTCAAGGTATGTGTATTGGCCTACTGAAGGATTTTCCCTATACGCACCCCTATTGATAGAACCATCTTTTCTAACATATTGTCAAGGAAATGTAATTTGTTGTCAAGTTTTTCCTTACATGTAAATCTGATTGATAAGTTGCTGGTTTTTAAATATTCTGATCGACAACATTAAAAGTATCATCAATGTGACGACAGTAAAAGTCAGGCTAGTGACGCACAAAGTCGATTGTCACAGTTTACGGTAAAGGAAAAAAATCCAGGTATATTATCTGTTTCCGGTTTACGTTCACATGTTACACTTTAGAGTTGAATTTGAAAGCGCCTCCAACGCTTCTGTTGACAACTAACTAGTTTAGAGAATCTGTGATTCAAACCAGCCACTTTGCAGTCTTATAGTATGCACATATATGTCTAAAACTTGACGTTAGAGTAGATCCTGACTTGTGAACTTTGGGAAAGCCATAGACTTGGTGTGTTCGGTTCGATTGGCTCAAGCAGATCATAAATGATTAGAGTCATTATCTCCTGTTTCGATTTTTTGAGCGAACTAGTTAGTAGTTTATCCGCTTTCATATTTATATCTTAACGTGGCTGAGTCTTTGAAATCCAGTCGCAACGTTCGATATCGCACTCATTTTGTCATATCCGGACGAAGAATAAATGAATGGTAACTGCTAGGGATTATTTATGGACTATTATTAATATATTCTTATTGGGTAATTATTAACTATATATATATATATATATATCACATATTTATCACTTTTACAATTGTCAAATGTCAACCATCGTGGGTTTGAATGTAGTTGGTTCCTCGAAAGTATTTGGGACCAAATCTGTCGTTTAGAAAAAGAAAATCTCGAATTGCACGTTGGTATATAGTTCATCAGTTATATGATCATAGTTCCAAAATTTTAAATCAAGCGATACAGCTTCTATGATATCTAAAATTATTCAAATTGATTTGCTAACTAAGTATTCCCGAAACAGCGCAATATAAGGAAGGTAGAACAAGATAAGCGCAAATGGACGTATTATATTTGTAACTGGTAATAAGTGCGTAGTCAAGTACAAAAACCACAGCTTTTGATTACACAAAATTCAACTTAACACTGGAAAAATTATGAACGTATTATTTGGCGTCAATAGAGGACTTACGTTTTAATTTTCGACATCCGAGAGATTCCATTAACTTTGTACCTAACGTCTCAAATCTACTTTTTGCTACCGTGTCGACATAGTCCATAAATCGTGATTTCATCCCCAGTGGTGAGCTTTCGACATTATATTTGCGTTGGAAAAGGCTTCTTTCTATTTCATCGCTATCACTCACTCATAAACTGCCTCAGATTGCCTAATATTTTATATATGCACGTAAATACTACTGTATACTGAAACAAAGCCTGATGACGGTCTCATTAGAAAATATTTTTCGTTAACGTATGTTCTAAATCACAATAAAGGGATTCATAGCATTTTAAGTAAAGTTTGTATAAAAGTACGACATGACATCCACTTCAATTAAAAAAATCTATTCTTGTGATGAAACCTAAACTACTATTATGTCCCTCAAATTTGTTTTCAAAATGCCATTGATGATAAAACGTGTGCGATTAGGTAGCTCTACCTATACTTACTTCTGTGTTAAGTAAGCTCTTAGATTTGTCTTCATATTTAAAGGTGAACAGGTACCTTTCAACATCCTAGATCTTCAAGTACCTTTAGTACCTCCACCTCGTAAAATTGATTGGTACTCCCAAACAGTTTATTTGTCCCTAGAGACAGTGTACATTTAATTTCCCAAATAGGGGCCTAATAACTGTTGAACGTATCTGATTGAGATTACTCGGATACATGCACAATCTAGCGAAATGTAAACGAAAGAAAAACTTTCCCACGACGTTTTACCATTAATTGGATTGGACCATCTACGGCGAAGGATATTTAGATGGAACACTTCTAATTATCACAAAGAGAACCAATTCACAACGCTGCACCGAAATTTGTCTAAGATAGAACACATAAATAGTGAAACTCCAATCATCCTTGGAGCTGACTTATACTATCGGCATAAACGACCGGACGTTATGATAAGTGAATATTCATTGTTCTGAACAACACCATTTTACGTTTAGGTTAGGAACTCAGTAAGAACGGAAAAATGAATTAAATACTATTTCATTCTCACGTTAAAAAGAGAAAAGAAGACGGACTTGCAGAAGAAATCGCCGACTGTAATATACATTCATGCAAGATTTTTTTTCGCCGCAATATGTATATGTTTTTCTAGTTTATCTGTCAAAGAATATATTATATGATATGAAACTTACATATTTTGTGCTTCCCACGTATAGGGAATTTAATTAAAGTTTCACGTGGATCAGCGCAAATGAATACATACGGACTTTGTGATGGTCCATCAGGTTGCTAATATATTAAAAATAAATAAATATTCACTGTATCACAAGCTTATGACTCATCAAAGTAAAATGAGGTTGACAGGCCAAGTGAAATAATGTGAAACTTAATACAATTGTTGTGATCAAAACAAAAAAGTAAGCGGTACAAACAAAATAGTAACAAGCACGATAATGGCTAGTTAGAAGTAAACATTTAGTACCTATAAAGGTTGTTGTCCATCTGTACATCCGAATTTGATTTTAAGTCATAATGAATGTCTTCAACCATTGGTCTCTGCAGTTTGAAAATCATAGTAAGATAGCTCATACTTGCCAACATTACTGATCTCTATTAGATAAATTGAACGGATAATAATATATTCTTTGGCGGAAGTAACTTTTTGTAACTTAATTAATCCAAGCTGACAAACAGCTAGTTTACCATACCCGTAAGACGGGCGGAAACGGTAATTTGAATAACAACAAATAGAGAATTAGCTGTAATAATTGTATGTTTAAGAGGTTATCGACGAGATTGATGAATGAATACCGAAAACAGCGATGCTGCCTTCCACAAGGAAGGATAGGGTTAGAAAAGGTCGACTCTAAAAATACACACCTCGCCTTCTCCTACGGGTTTCTGTCTCCAGCAGTAAGGTCTCAATAAACACAGAGTTAACACAAAATGGTGTGTGATGGCCCCAAGTAGTTGTCCCTTGGACACTGCGGTCACGCTCTCAGGTCACTAAGATCACCTCTACCCAACTGCCTCTTCAGGTACCTCTAGAAGAACTTTTCCAAAAGTCTACGGAACGCTCGTGAGCAGCGGTGGGCAACGAAAACAAATGAGATAGAAAAGGCAGTGACTGTAGGTAACTCAAGATAGCTTTTCAGACTAATAAAATAAACTGGAATAAAGAAGTCAAGTGCAAGTGACAATATCTGGGAAAAGACGACACTTATCTGCTCTCAGTCTAGACGTTTAAAACGATAGGCGGAATACTTTAGGGAGCAGTTCAGCTGGCCTTCAACTACTCTACAACTACACACCATTCCCAAACAGCTTGAATGGAACATTGAATTACGCCCCCCCCCCCCCCGACTCTAAATGAAGTTCGAAAAGCTATAGCTAATCTGAAAAGAGGAAGTGCAGCTAGTCCAGATGGATTAACTCCAAAGGTATACAAGTATGAGGATCCAATTTTAGCGATTACGTTGATTAATATTTCGGCTAAAATCTGGGAAGTGAATGTAATCCCATCCAAATAGTCGCAGTCACTGATTGTCCCAATATATAAGAAACGACCAAAATCAGCCTGTGATAGCCATAGAGCGATTAGTTCGACCAATATAGCATCTAAAATACTAACCACAATAATTATCGGGTGCCTAACAAAGACTCGTGAACTGCAAACTCGAGAAAATCACGCTGGTTTCACACCTGATCGTGGTTGCATCGACCACATATTCACCATTCGTCAGGTTTTAGAACACTGGCATGCTTATCGGCGTCCAACAATGACAGTTTATCTTGACTTAAAAGCAGCATTTGACTCTGTAAACCGAGACGTTCTGTGGAAGGGTTTGTATGGAAAGGTGTACGTTAGAAATCTTCTCAGGGCTTTTTACTCGAACACTATCAGTCGAGTCAGAGCTTATGGCGAACTGTCATCTGATTTTGCAACCTCAAATGGTGTCCGATAAGACTGTTCACTATCTCCGTTTTTGTTTAATTTCATCACAGACCTACTGCTGGAAATAACTTTCTCGTCGGTTGAACTTTCAGGAATTGACCATCTACCAAGAGGTCCACTTATGGACTTAGAATATGCAGGTGACATAGTCCTGTTTCTTGAAGACGCTGATAAAATGCAAAGTCCTTCAGTAGCATTGACCAACAATGCCAGGATGTTTGGTGTGCGTTCTTCCTACGCTAAATGCAAGTTGTTGCTTCAAAACTGCCTGAGTCAGCACCTTAGCTAAGGATCGGAAGTGAAGTAGTTGAACACGTCTGATCAGCACAAGTGGGATGGTGTCTGACGAAATCTCAGCACGGATTCAGAAAACTCGTTTGGCTTTTGCCAACTCACGTCACCTATGGCAAGGGCGAGATATCCGTCTATCAATTGAAGGACGAGAATAGTGCGCAGCAGTTCGTTCTGTTTTACTTTACAAATGCGAAACGTGATTGTGAAGGGCAGAGGATACTCGCAAGTTACTAGTATTTGATCACAGATGTCTTAGAAATGTTGCTCGTATCTGCTTGGATCACCGGGTAAGTAATAATGGTTAGGCGCAGAGTATTAGCGAACGATGGTAAATCAGTTGATGAGGTTGTAAATCTTCATCAACTGCGATTGTGGGCCCACGTATTACGCATGCCCAATCACCGATTACCACGACGCGCAATGCTGACTAGTGTTGGAGACGGTTGGAAGAACGTTAGGAGTGGTCAAACCATCAGTCCATAAAGTCACTAAGTAACTCTTTTTACCTGTATCATATCCTTATATGCAATCTGTTTTTATGCATTTCTAACACTGAGGTAGCTGCTTCTTTTAATACGGTATTTGTCTTGTTGTGTTAATAAGGTATTGCAACTAGGACTAATGCATATATTTGCCTGGCATTAATCGAATAATTAGAGGTAACCTATTACTGTATTGGTAAAAAAACACGACCAGAAAGTCAAAAATTCAACTAATCTAAGGTTAGCAGTTGTTATGATAAGATTTAATGATACGAACGTTGATAAATGTAAGTACAATACAAAACCTAAGTATCGATTTTGAGAAAAAAATAGAGTTAAAAAAGACAAGATTATGATAAAATAGGCGTAATGTATTCATTAATTATTATGAATAAAATATCAGTCTATTGAATTTAAAATACAATAATTAACCCAAATAAATAAATGAGGACCAAAACAAAAATTTAAATTAGATCATTAACTTATAAAACCTTACTTTTTCACGATATTCTTCTTGTGTTATCACATTTACAATATTAACTCGACCAAGAAGACAACTAGTAGGATATGATGTTGGCATATCTGATTTGGGGACACCTACAATTAATAATAGTAATAAAAATAAAATTTTGGAATATTTGAGCAATATCATGATATTAAAATCTGTGATTTCATAATTCTGCATTATACAATTATAGTATAAAACAGAATAGTGTGCACGGACAAATAATTACATCAGATGCTGAAAGTTTAAAGAAAATTGAAACCATGAGCTTAAATGTTAAAGAAGAAAGAGCTTTAGTTACTATCGTTTAAAAAAGATACTTATAAATATTTTCAGTAAAAATAAGGATCTCTTTAAGCGAATTACTCTTCAAGTTGTATAAGAGGGAAATAATAGATCTAAGACTTTAAAGAATAGCAGTGATAAGTTTAGAACAACGTCTTTACAGCGAGATATTATCTCCACTTTGAGAAATAAAACTGAATGAACTTGAATGAAATGCCCAGGTTTTTGTCAAGATTAACAAAGAAATCCAAAGCTTTAGAACACACAACAATTTAGGTGAGTGACATTTTTAAAACTTATTTCTATATCTGATATGATGGAAAGAAAAGTCAATTTTCGATTGGTTTACTCATGAATTTTGTTCAAGATTTCTTCCGTTTTGATTCAATGTAATGATTACTGAATGTAGTGTTTGTTTTCTTTTCTCGTATGATATTTTATTCTGTATAATATGCGATATTCTTGTATTCCATTGACATGAAATATGCTTAGTATGTGATTTGTTATAACTCTAAGTATTTTTCATATATGTGATTTCATCTTAATTATTAATCAAAATGAGTGTACAATCAATATATAAATAAGTGTATTTTCTACTAGAGTCGTCGTCGTGTTTTGGGGTTAATAAATCATCACTTATACCAGTCTTTGTGTTCTTACTTTCGAGTTGTGGAAATTGCAGTGGTCCCTCGTTCCGAGTATAAGTGATAAACGTTTCCGACATAACAATCAGCAACGACCAGATACAAAAATTAGCATTAAAAGAGCCAAGACAATAAGTATTTAGACGACAAGTTATAACAATATCAGACTAAACCTTAAACTTGTTTGAATGCTGTACATAAGTATTTATTGGATACTAATGCTAGAAGACCGGAATAATGATTGCAGTTGAAAGAAACTCAAATGGCATATGAATCCAAACGACTGAACAAAGAATTACCATTTGTGGTGCTGATTTATAAGGCTTGATTAATTACTATTTGAATTCACTTTAAATTATTCGGATACTTTCATTACCGAGGTGTCATATTAATAAAACGCTAGTTATCGCGTTTAATTTTAGTTTATTCGGAATTATAATAATCACACAGTCATAAAAACATAAACTGTTGAAAGTACTGAAAATAAATACTATCTCACATATAACAATTTCTAATCTGAGTGGAACTCCGCGTGTAGCTCTTCTAGGATTACCACCGGTCCCAAGACCGGGTAAAGGAGGGGGGTTGGGCATAGAGTCAGCAATCCCATCCGTCAGAAAACAAACTAGCTAAAGAACGCTAACCAGGAAAGACAATTTAAACTCTGTCCTCCGAGTTCAAGGGCCTTCATTCAGACGAAATATGATGCCTCATGGAGGAAGCCCAGATTCTTCGGAGGTTAGGAATCCTATGCCTCTTCTAATAACCAGAGCAACAATTTCTATAGCTACATGAACTGTCTGGAAAATGTGGGTGACAAGGAGGACCAATCATTTATTATTTATTAATTAGAACACATAAATATTGGTACAAGGAGGCATCAGATATATATGCACCACACAATAATAATGAGGATGGGAAAAGAAAAAAGAATGGAAGGTGAGTATAAGAGAGGAGAAATGAAAAAGAGAACAATAACGACCACACATTAGTGTATGGTAGTGTAATAATAATAGTAATAATTGTGGGGGAAACGGAAAGGGACGACCAGAAAGAATTCTTTCAGTTAAGGGAGACACAACCACTTTTTATAAAGAAAGTAAAAGAAGGTTACAGCAGGATCGCCACTGGCTTCTATTCTGAGCCATATCTGATAACGTCTCTAGCCACTATGTTACACCATCTCTCAGACCTCAACCAGGGAGTCGTGAAGGACCGACACAAGCCAGCCCTTTGCAGCTTTCTTTCATACCACAACAGCATGTCATGCACTGATCACCTCTCCGCTTCTTCCAATCAGTCCCACAGTCGGCAAATAATGCACGACGGGGAACTGTCTGAGACGACATTCTTAGAACACGTCCAAGCCACCGAAGTCGGTGTTTCAAGATGGTGACACCAATCAGATTATCGTCACTGAGCCCGAACACACAATGCCGAACCTCTGCATTACTAACATGGTGTTGCCACTGGATGTCAGCAATCCTTCGGAGACAACGATGATCAAACACAGAGTCGTCTAACATCCTCAACCCGGAGAGGCCAGGTTTCACAAGCATAGAGCAGAACTGCTCTCACCGACGCGTTGTAGATCCGACCTTTTACAGTCAGACTAACATCACAAAAGCGCTAAAGGTGGCCCAGATTGGCATAAGCCGCTCTGGCTTTAACTATACGTGAATCGATCTCATCAACACCAGCACTTATGCAGCTACCCAGATACACGAACTTCTCGACTACTTCTATCTGCTCACCATCCAGGGTGAGTACAGGATTAGAATCCTGCCAGTCTTTTAGAAGTACTTTACACTTCAAAGGTGCAAAGCACATGCCGTACCTACGGACACTGATTGCCAACTGATTAGGTGCGGATTGCATCGCTTGGACATTATCGCACAGTAAGACAATATCATCCACATACTTTATTTACTTATTTATTTTAACACGTAGATATTGGTACAAGGAGGCACCAAATACATATGCGCCACACGGATCCCATTTGATATGTGTGAAGGCTGTGATACTGCCCGGGTGCCCAAACCGAAGCAGGTGTAAAGGCGAGGATTGGCAAAGCAAGGACAGCATCCCTACAGTTGAAAGACATATCAAACTCAAGACAACTGTCTGCAAGTCAACATCAAATTCAGAATCTTCAATACGAAAGTCAAGACAGTTCGATTGTACGGAGCTGTAACTTCGAGAACTACTACAACCATCAACAAAAAGGTACAAGTGTTTATAAACAATTTTCTACGCCGGATACTCGATGTCCTTTGGCTAAATACCATAGGCAAAAGCCTATTATGGGAGAGAATAAACCAGCTTGCAGATGGAGAGAAAATTAGGAAGAAACTCTGGAAGTGGATATGACGCACATTGAGGAAATCATCAAACTGCATCACGAAGCAAGCACTATCTTGGAATCTTGAAGGAAAAAGGGGAAGAGGAAGGCCAAAGTACACACTACTCCGAGAGTCGGCAGCAGACATGAACAGAATGAGTAGCAACTGGAAAGGATTGCTCAGGACAGTTGAATGGACAGTACTAGTAACTGACCTATGCTTCTCTACGAGGGGTAACAGGCGTAAGTAATCTGAGTGACATGATATTAATATAATCAAACTTGTATGTATCAAACAGTGCATTTGTTCCTTGTATTAATAAAACTAGTTTCAGCTTGGAAAAGTTAGTTATTCTCACTGGGTATGTATTCAGATAATCGTAGTGTAATTACATTTGTTTTTTTGAAAGTTATATAATGCCTTTTCTGCTTCTCTGTTAGAACGTTTATTGTGCTGTAGTTGAGAAAGTTTTACTTCAAAGTACGGGTTAGTTATGTTTTCTGATACCTATCGGTGAAATAACATAGAACAATCTTACTTTTAATATGATTAAAAGTAATCAGAGTTGAATTATGCATTTATTTGTCATCTGTTCTGTACTGACTAATCTTCATTTAATGATCGAGATAATCGATATTTTTCACAGTTACGCTCACAGTAATAATCTTTTACAACTGATTGCTATGTATAATAATAATAATAGGTCTATTTGACGTTATATGTTTAGTACAATGCGGAATTTTGGTATGCAAAAATAATTAAGTATAATCTATAAATAAAAAGACTAATCCACAGGAAACCTACATATACATATGAGTATTTACATTACCACATCCCTAACTTAGTAAGATTGATAGCAATTTATAAAACTAAACCTGTGTATCCCTGATGTAGAATAAATATGAATGTTATGAATACTATAATATCATCTTTAGAAAGTATTTTAAGTCTCAGTAATTGAATATTTTGCACTGCATACACAACAAAAGAATAAAATATTACCAGCCTTCAAATATTTATTCTCGATTTCAGTGATTTCCTTTGGATCAGTTTTATTTGCTGTCGATGCTATCCACAGACATCCACGATACGGAGTATACCATGTTCTACCTTCTTCCCTGTTTATGCAAATAACACAGAAGAATTTAACAAGCATACATATATTTAAGTAAATCATTTTTAATGAGTCACAAAATCTTTGAATAATTAATGGATGAATCGATCTCATAATTTACCAAAAGCATTTTCCTACTAAACTTTGCCTGGAGTCCCTCCGGGGGCTACTGCCGGTCCCAAGCCCGGATAAAGGAGGAGGGTTGGGCACGGGGTTAGCGTCCCCATCCCGTAGAAAACTAACTCGCTAAAAAAACGCTAACCAGAAAAAAAATTTATGTTCCTACTACTTGATAAATATGCAAAAAGATATGAAATAAAACATTGTGAATATTCCAAAGATTTAAAATGAAAAGAGAAAAAAACGAATAAAGAAGTGATAGATATAAGACTCATAAATCAATCTACATAATTTACAACCATTGACTAGGTGGATCTATAGAGAATTCGACCAACTTGCTTGATGCTATCGAAGTGAACGAGAACACTAATCGGGACAACCAAATGTATTTGGATAAAAAAATACCGAATATCTTGGTAAAATCTGGGAAACATGTAGTAAATACTTCATTTTCACAGTGTCAATCAATTGTCTAAGTCTTGATTGTCCCTTTACTTCCACACCAATCATTATCTGTTCTCCTCTTCTCTTTGATCTTTTTAACGTTTTACAGCCAGGCATTTCAATTTCCATTGGTGATACATACTGTAGTGAACAGAACCCGGGTGGGGACAATCGAATGTATTTGACACAAAATCACAGGACTTGTTAACAAAATCTAACAATCATTAAATAAATGCTTAATTTGCAAGATGTCCACCAATTGTCTCAAAATGACTCAAACTCCATTGTTCTTACATTTTCATACAAATTGCATCCTGTTTCCATTCTTTACTGTTCGATCCCCTTTTCTCTCTGCTGCCAGACCTTCTGCTTACGACTAACATATACTACTTATGTCAATATAAGTAGCACACACCACACCATAACTAACGCACAACGTTACACAAACAGGAGCACGGTGTGCAAACTGCTTAATTATTGAGTAAATAAAATAGAATAGTAACTGATATTTTGATATGAATTATGATGAATCATTCTTATCTCAAGCCACTAGTCGAATGAAAATCAATTCTACAATTTTGATGAAGAAATCAAACTGCCTTACTCCATTGAAAAATATTTTAGGGAATAATCTATGAATCACGTCTGATCAGTAAACAAACTGTTGTTTGAATGACTAGCATTGTATCAAAGCTTTTGAATGTAAATTTTTTTTTCGAGAAAATACCATACATTTGTATCAATTGTAAAACAAAAATTGGCTTTAAAAATGCATACGAGGACTTACAACTTGATTCCACGTACTAATAATGAAGCCCAAGGTTGATGAAGGCTTAAACAATAACCTTCATCGACAAGTTGTCTTGACTCATCATCTTGTATTCGTAAAAGAGAGGTTGATTGATTTAATGCCACAATGACAGGATTTTGATCATCATAGTGTTTGCTATCCATAGATTGAGGTATAAACTACAAAAAAAGTGATTTTCACGCAATACTAAGGTTTTGACATTAAAATGAAATTTTTTTAAAGGTTAACTTTAAATGCACGGCTATTTTTTAAATTTTTTTCTGGTGAACTATTTTTTCATCCCCATTTACCAATAATTTTCATTCGGTTTCGTCCAATCAAATAGCTAGTTTTAAATTCGTTATAATTGGTCGTTTATTTCTTAAAATTGATATAAAATGTCAGAACGTGACGACAGAGCACATTTTCTTCCAGTTATGGACGGTAGTAACGTACAAAGCACGAGCTCTGTCGTTTCTCACGTTGTCACGGAAACCGATAACCGATTCTTGAGCACATTGTATCCCGTAGTGCTCTAATCATTAGAACTTATGAAAAAGTTATGTATTGTCATTGTGCGGTGAGAGATTCTCATTTCCATAGAGATCGTAAGCCGTATATTAAATTTGTATATTGGAAAAATGGCCATATAACAACTAGCGGCCCCTCACAGCCCAATAGACGAAGGAGGTAATTTGATTAGTGTTATTATAATTTTTCATAAAGGACTTCCGTGAACATTCAATGTCCTTCCTTCATCTTTTGTACGTTACCAACTATCAAAATAACGTCGATATGAATGTAACGTTAAGCAATGACGAGGAAGAAATTGTTTCGGTTACCTCAGAGGAGTTCGCTGAACGAGACGACGACAATGACGAAAACGCGTATGACAACAGACTTGGTGATATTTTCAATCTTGCGCAACCGCCACATGAAACTGCTGATGCAAGTGCCTGGATATTTTGTACATGAGAAGCGATGTTCCATTTATTTTGGGCTTATGACCCATCACCACACGTCCATGGAATCCACTGTCCCATGTGCGGCGCTATAACGGAATCATAGCAACGCTTTTGTTCATGAAATTCGGAACTGTTAAGAGAACGAGTAAAGGCCCTTTTCAGGGCCACCCACAATTTCATTTAACTTCTTTTGTTTCAATTCCTTATTTCCATGGCAAAGGTCAAGTGATGAAGCTATCAAAATTCATTTTAGATTAATAATCACTATGTGATTATCGCCCACGTATTCGTAAACGCTTTTTAGGCTTTATCAAATATACGGTTTAAGTAAAGGATTTCGTATAGAAGAAAATTTCATCTAGTGAACACTAATCTGTCTAACAATAGTACATGGAAAACATATTCAGAATGTTTCAATGTTTTGTCATATATATATACGGTAGACGAATGTAGTACGACCAGTTCACTAGTACAACGACATTATTTCTATGGGAAAGGTCAACTGAACCAAAACTGATGAATTCCAATTAAGCCTTAGTGATTAAGCAATATAATCAATTGAGATTCTTAACGATTTCGTGGACTAGTTGGAGTTAGACATTAACAGGTTTTCCGTTATACACTAACGCAGATTAAGTCGATAATAATACACAAGTATAGTCAGGATATATATTTCTACAGCAACCATTCATACAACTCATTAGGAGTCAGACATCAACAGACAAAAAGTAAACAATTACCAGGACTAAACATCATATCAGCAGTGTGCTTGACTATGCAATTTAATTTGACGAACGTTTAACTGATATATATATATATATATATATATATATATATATATATATATATATATATATATATATATATATAGTTCAATGAATCCTGACTATATTTCTAGTGTATGTGGTTGTCAATGAATAGAAATACCAAGATCCTATACTTAGACCCAGATAATACAGAGAGAAGCTTAATAATAACCCACCTACGAAGATTGATTATTAGTCAGCCGATAGGGTGACAATAAAGAGTACTATTATGGTGCGTGCTACTTATATTGACATAAGTAGTATATAACGCGAGTCAGGAATGTAATGTCTGGCAGCAGAAGATTGGGAAGTCAAGAAAGGAAGAACGGGAATAGAAAGCAATTAATATGAAAATGCAAGAACAATGAAGTCCGAGAAAATTATTGAACATTTTGCGAATTGGGTATTATAGTATGGTTTTTCTATTTTACCAAGTAACTGTAATTTTGTGCTAAGTAGGATTCGGTTGTCCTCACCTGTTTTCTCCTTCACTACACTATGACATCAACAAACACACAAATTAAATTATATAACGATGATAAAAAATAAAGAGTAGATAGAGTAGGGAGATTTGACAGGGGAAATACGAAACTAGGAATCACAGTGTTAACTACAAAACAGCAAGTAATGAGATGTTATTTTCGGAGGATTTGAATACCTTCAACAGTTTAAATTGAGAAAAATGAGACAACTTACAGTAGGCAGGGTTATTTCACCATTATTTGAGTTAACAGTTTTTTGACTATCTCCGGAAGACTGATTAACATTTGAAATAGTTGAAGATTTACCAAGTTCATCCATTTCTTCTTGATTTGGATTGTACAGTTTCCCAGCTGCTTCATCTCTTGTATCCTTGCAAAGAAATAATGTACAATTATAATAACGCTTCTAAAATATTACGATGCACAACCACTTAATGAGACCGTTTCATAAAAACTTTTATAAGCTATATAAGTCTATATAAACATTCACATTTATATAGAGCCCGAACCAAACCCTCCACTAAATACTGATGACAAAGAATTCATATGAAGCATACTTTTGGAAATTAAGACATTAACAGCTTTGATTATAGATATTGAAAATAGGCAAATAGCCACGGTATAACGAGTGGAAGTGAAAAAAGTCACTTAAGGAAATAAAACATATCAAATGAGTAGCAATTCTAGAGGGCAATGATTTTTGTATGATAAACTTTCCAGTGACTTTGAGTTAAATAAAATACCAAATCTCTTGTTCGTGAGTCCTGTGCTTTCCCATCATAGTTTGTCTTTTTCCTTGCCATAAAGTTTTATTCAATATCCCGTAGTTGCATCCCAACACTTGAGGAAAAGATTAGATTTCGTTGAGTATGTTTATTGAGTCGTTTTTAACCTATAAAAATCTCTGTTGGTAAAATATTATACGGCATCGCACAATTAATAGAGGTGTGACATTCAAACGGGCTTTGGAGAGTTGTCAATGTTCTCTTATTTGGCAATTTGAAAATAAACAGCTTGAACGTGTCTACGAAGTTTTCCGCTTTGTCACTGAATTGCATATGACAGAGTGATGAATAAATATGTTAATCAGTGATGTCATCTGATTGGTATGAAATGTACCAAGAAAACCGGGATAATTTGAGGATAGATTAGTTAACACACTACAAATTTCAGTCCTAAGTTTGTTGGACTGATTGGTTATGCAGTGATCATTTTTGTACGGGACTGATTTACACTGTCATCGATTTTATTTGTAATAAGTAAAACCTGACAAACTATTATGATTCACAATCCTAACATTAGGGCCTTTCCGTTGTAACAAGAACCTGTTCTGTGAGTATGGTATAGGAGATGAAGTGTTAGAGACATTCAATCCAGACACGTAAGACACTACCTGATTCGGAGTACGGCAAACGACATATCCTGCTAAAATACACAGAGATACTGATAAGACTGAAGCAATGTTATGCTTCAGACTGAAAGGTCGTCAATGCCCGTTAATTTATCTTGTACTTTAACAGCTTTTCCCATCATTCCATTTTTCATTAACAACAAACCCATCATGCAATGCTGAGACACTACACGTCTCACGTTACTAACTGCATATCAGAATCAGTAGGGTTTCTTCCGAGTGAGCATTACAAATAACAACAACACTTTTATGTTTCTACAAACCAGAACGACCTAGTTTTTTCTATCTCTCATAAAATGGTCCACCCTTACAATTAGTCTATTTAGCTTACAGTCTTTACTGAATGATAACTGACATGACACACAATTAGCAAGAAAATGTTTATGATTTATATATCTCTGCGGATGGTAAAAACAGACGATTGGAAGCTGTTAAACGGCTACGAAAAAGCTTTTTGGAATCCTTCACGGCTCTATTTGTAGTGAATAAATGTATTAAATAAGGAAAGGATTGATGCACAAATGTTGCTACACATACCAACAAAACAGAGTGAATTCATTATTACGCTACAGTTTGGCTATTGTATGAATCAGAGACTGTAAATAACATGAAAGAATAAATGCCTAATGAAAAATAACTTCCCCATTTGTTATGAAAACCGCTGACCGACACCGAAATCTTAACTTAAAAACAGCTGAATTAATAAGGCTTTATGGCAGAAACTTTCGACATAACTCTTCAGTAGACAGAACTGTAGTAATTAGATATTTTCGATGCAGCTTACTATGTGTTATAGCCTAAAGCCGCTAATCAGGAGCAGCGAATTATCAATCGAACCAAAGACGCGTAAAACACGTGCGAGCAGCCTAGAGTCCTGATTGGTCCTGCTTCCCGCCTAGACAGCCAGTTAAGTCCAGAACACCAGTCTCAGCCTCTGTAATATGAATCCTTATATTTCAAACATGCTGAGTTTATATACCAATCAAACAGACCACAACGTAGCATTAAATAGAAAATAACATTTGTACAAAATTTGGCCAGATGTGTCTGTGAATGTAGGAGGCAGTGACTAATAGACGGGGCATAATTCAAGAATGGTAAAACGTATAATAATGGTTCATAGGTCAAAATAAAGTTTATAATAAGAGGAATATGAATATGAATAGTTTAGTTATTTGACAATTATACGATAAAAATATACGTTTAGTATTGATCCATAAAAGGATCCTAAAGTTACCATTCATTATGTTTATCGGGACCTAACACTATGTAGATAACTACTCAACTATTTACTATGTTAGAATCTTGTTGTCAAGAAACCTTTATTTGTAGCCAATCAAAATCTTAAAGCTTTTATGGATTTTTGGAGTTTATTGAAATTTATCATAAGGTAAAACAATCAACAATTCAGATCTATACAATATGACTATTTGTTATCTTAAAAATTATTTTACAGATCTCTAGGTTGAAAATTAGCGATCAAATATAACTGCATCGGAAAACAGAGGTTGAACCTATGACAAATGTTTATATTTGGTCATATCACATCATTCGAACTGTTTGAAGATATCACCTGAAGAGACAGATAGTCTAGAATAATTCAAAAATGCTGAACTTCATCTAAGGATACGTTGAGTCTTTCATATGAAGCATTATACCAGTAAATAACCAGTGTGATTAAATGATCACAGCAAAGATTAATTATGTTAAGGTTGAAAACAATGAGCTCATCAGAACAAGTTAAGAATCCAATGTTCATAGTGTAACGGTGTCCCGTTCTATGTTGAGGAACTTTTCACAGGTGAAATTCAACAGCAAGCCTATTAAACAGCGTGCTAATGAGCTGGAAGCAGCAGCTGCATCTGGTAACTACCGGAAGCTCTTCCAGCTCATCCGAGCCACCGGCAGCAAGAAGTCTGGTGTGAGTGAAACAATCTGCGAGGATGATGGGATGCCAATCACTAACATCCATCGACGTCTTGGACGATGGGCAGAATTCTTCGAAGGGCAGTTCAACTGGCCTGCTGCTCCGGCAACATCGGTCAGACTGTCCTGCCCTCCATGGCCGGTGACGACTGATCCACCAAATGAGGAGGAAGTCCGCAAGGAACTCCAACTCTTGAAGCGTTACAAATCACCTGGCCCAGATGACTTACCTCCGGCTCTTTTTAAAGATGGTGGTGACTTTTTGACTAAGGAATTGATGACGTTGTTTACAAAGGTCTGGGAACTAGAGAGTGTACCAACGTCATGGAATGAGTCGATAGTTGTCCCTATCTTTAAAAAGGGTTCACGTCGTTCCTGTAACAACTATCGGGGGATAAGTCTACTTCCGATTGCGTCCAAGCTATTAGCTTCCGTCATTCTTCGTAGGTTGTTCAAAACCAGAGAAAGATTGACTCGCGAGGAGCAGGCTGGGTTTCGTTCTGGTCGAGGATGTATTGATCATATCTTCACCCTCCGCCAAATGTTAGAACACCGCCATACTTTTCAAAGGCCAACAATCGTAGTGGTTCTTGACATCAGGGCTGCCTTCGATTCGTTAGATAGGACTGTTCTCTGGGATTGTCTATTGAAGAAGGGTGTGCCTAAGAAGTTTATTAACATCCTAAAAGCCCTGTATAAAAACACCTCAGGCAGAGTGAGGGCATACAACCACCTCTCTCCATTGTTCCTTTCGAGCAGTGGCGTTAGGCAGGGTTGCCCAATCTCACCATTCCTCCTCAACTTTGCCATCGATGACATTCTGGAAACAGCTCTGATGAATGTAAGTAATGGTGGTGTAGATCTGTTGCCTGGAGAAAGACTTCTCGACTTTGAGTATGCGGACGATATTGTCTTACTGTGCGATAATGCCCAAGGCATGCAATCCGCACTTAATCAGTTGGTAATCAGTGTCCGTAGGTATGGTATGTGCTTTGCACCTTCGAAGTGCAAAGTACTTCTACAAGACTGGCAGGATTCCAATCCTGTACTCACCCTGGATGGTGAGCAGATAGACGTAGTTGAGAAGTTCGTGTATCTGGGTAGCTGCATAAGTGCTGGTGGGGGTGTGAGTGATGAGATCAATGCACAAATAGTGAAAGCCTGAGCAGCTTATGCCAATCTGGGCCACCTTTGGCGCCTTCGTGATGTTAGTCTGGCTGTAAAAGGCCGGATCTACAACGCGTCGGTGAGAGCAGTTTTGCTCTATGCTTGTGGAACCTGGCCTCTCCGAGTTGAGGACGTTAGAATACTCTCTGTGTTCGATCATCGCTGTCTCCGAAGGATTGCTGACACCCAGTGGCAACATCATGTTAGTAATGCAGAGGTTCGGCATCGTGTGTTCGGGCACAGAGATGATAATGCAATTGGTGTCACCATCTTGAAACACCGACTTCGGTGGCTTGGACGTGTTCTAAGAATGTCGTCCCAGAGAATTCCACGTCGTGCATTATTTGCCGACTCTGGGACTGGTTGGAAGAAGCGGAGAGGTGGTCAGTGCATGACATGGTGTCGTGGTATGAAGGAAAGCTGCAAAGGACTGGCTTGTGTTGGTCCTTTACGACTCCCTGGTTGGGGTCTGAGAGATGGTGCTACACAGTGGCTAGAGACGTTATCAGATATGGCTCAGAATAGAAGCCAGTGGCGATCCTGCTGTAACCTTCTTTTACTTTCTTTATAAAAAGTGGTTGTGTCTCCTTTACCTGAAAGATTTCTTCTGATTGTACCTTTTCGTTCCGTCGTTACTACCACACTACCTTACTCCAATCTCTTCGTCATTTTTCTCTTTTTCATTTGCGCTCCCTAGTTTTTTTTCTACTTCTCTTCGAATTCTCATTGTTTTGTGTGGCGCATATATATTGGCGCTCTCTTGTACCAATATTTATGTGTTCAAATAAATAAATAAATAACTATTAAACAGAAATGAGACTATCAGTCAAAACTCAATAAGAATAACTCAATCAACATAAAATCAATAAGAAATGCTGATGAACATCATCAAGAGGAATGAAAGTTTCTTTAAAGAAGGAACATATAATTATTTCTATGTAAAACATTTTACTGGGATAATTTTATGTGTTATATGTACATACTAACCTCTTTTATAACATCGCATTTGTCTAGGTCAATACACATACGTGCAGACTGTAGACGATGTGAATGTCTTTGGGCTCGTAAGTCAATTACGCGTTGAGCTATCTTCTCACGAACTTCAGGACTTAACCATGCAGCTGATCCAACGCCACCCTCTGTTGCGAAATAATCTAATTCATCATCAATAACCCTAGTTCGTCTAGCACAGGTAGTATCAAACTCCAAAAGTTTATCACGTTTACATAATGCATTGATTAAACCTAAAACGAGATTATAAGGGTACGAAAGAAATGTAAATATCTTCCACTGAAGTGGAGAAAAAGAGATATACTAAGAAGGGTTAACAGAATAAATTTCATTTTCAAGTATAGAAGCAACGACTGTTTACGATCAAACCATATTCAAGAGAGCATCATACATCCTTCAATCATAGAGTCTTAAGTATTTGGAATAAATAATATCTACAAATTTGACTGCATTTAAAACTACATTTCTTACGATATTAGGATGATACTCCTACAGAAGCAGCCCTTCTCATGAACTGGATTCTGTGTTCACGTTAATTTGAAAATGAGCTTAAGGTATTGTAAGGAACACATATAATGCCCTAATAACTTCAATGAAGCAATATGTATCGTAAATTAATTGTTCATGTATTGTTCAGTTCATCTTTTTAATTGATCACTACGATGGTTCCATCAACCGTTTGTCCTACAGTAATTTTAAAAATCGAAATGCCTTGTATACTTCAACAATCTAAAGTATATTATTACTCTCCCCAAGTCAATAACTCAATTTTCAATCAATAAAGTGATATATATATAGTCAGTCAGTCAGTAACAACGTAGAACTTCATACACACGAACATCAGCTCGAGTTGCCACATCACCTTAGCACAGACATGCAGTTGTCCATTCAAGTCCCGTAGTGGTAGAGGTAGCATGACTCAGTCTACTTGTCAGTGACTTCATGGACTTGTGCCATGTTTTGGTCTGGCCGCCCCTAGCTTTCTTCCAACCTACTCCTATACAATAAAACATCGCACATCGAGGCAGTCGGTCGTTGGGCATATGTAACACATGTCCCAGCCATCTCAATTGGTGAAGTTTCACTACGTCATCAATTGATTTGCCATCCTTACCTAGTACCCGTTTCCTAACAACTGTGTTACTTACTCGATGGTCCCATGATATACGAGCAATGTTTCGAAGACACCTATGATCGAATACTAGTAACCTACGAATATCCTCTACTCTTACCGGCCATGTTTCACTGCCATAAAGTAGGACTGGACGAACTGCTGCGCAGTAAACACGTCCTTTGGTTGATAGACCGATATCTCGCCTACGCCATAAATAACGCAAGTTGGCAAAAGCTAGTCGAGCCTTCTGTATCCGTGCTGAGATTTCGTCACACACCAGACCACAAGGGCTGATGAGACTTCCAAGATAAGTGAAGCGGTCGACACACTCAACTACTTCACTCCCTATCACTAGTTCGGGTGTCGATGTAACCCAATCCTGAAGCAACATTTTGCATTTCGAGGGAGAGAATCGCATCCCGAACATGCTTGCATTGTTGCTTAGAGTGGTCAGAAGACTCTGCATTTTGTCAGCGTCTTCATCAAATAAAACTATGTCATCTGCATATTCTAAGTCAACAAGTGAACCTCCCGGTAGAAGTTCAACCCCTGGAAATTTAGATGAGGAAAGTGTTATCTCTAAAAGTACGTCGACCACAAAGTTGAACAAGAATGGGGAGAGTGGACAGCCCTGACGAACACCACTTGTGGTAATCGATTCTGATGACAGTTCGCCATAAGCTCTCACTCTACCAGTTGTGTTCGAGTAGAGAGCCTTTATAAGGTTAATGTACTTCTTTGGTACTCCTTTCAGTGATGACAAACACTGCCATAGAATCCCACGGTCAACAGAGTCGAATGCCGCCTTAATTTCGAGATATACTACGATGGTGGGGCGTCTGAACGAGTGTCTGTGTTCTAGAATCTGACGTAGTGTGAATATCTGATCTATACAACCACGTCCAGGTCGAAAACCAGCCTGGTTTTCTCTAGTCTGCTCTTCACGAGCTTTAGTTAAGCGTCGAAGTATTATTGAGGCTAATATTTTAGACACTATATTAGTCAGACTGATTCCTCTGTGATTGTCACAAGAGGACTTTTGTCCTTTCTTATAGACTGGCACAATCAGTGATTGAGACCAGTCAGATGGGATTACGTCCAGTTCCCAAATTCTACCTAAGACCTCGGTTAATCTCATTGCTAATACTGGACCACCATCCTTAAAAATCTCAAAGGTAAACCTGTCAGGGCCTGCTGCTCTTCCTCGTTTCAGATTTCCTATGGCTTTTTCAACTTCGTAAATGGACGGAGGACCTATATTAACTTGCCAGTCAGGTTGACTGGAGATCGTGGGAAACCGAAGTGTGGCTGAAGGCCAGTTGAACTCATACCTAAAATGTTCTGCCCATCCATCCAATCTCCTGGATTGAGAATGTTTAACATGTCGATCTTTCGCTGAGTTTGTTTCACTAACAGTCGGTTTCCTTAACAAGTCTGAACAATTGTCTGCTGTTACCTATTGCCGCTGCCTTTTCCATCTCTCTTGCTTTCGCTACCCACCACTGTTCGCGATCATTGCGCAGACTTCTTGTCAGCTTGTGCTTAAGCTGACTCCGATCTTCATTATGTTCAGAGCCAGGTGGAATGAGTTTCCGAGCATCTATCAGTGCGGTAGATGCTGCTGAGATCCAGTGTTGCTCCCTAACCTTCTGGTTTACCTGACTAGCAGATATCACTGCTGTTTCCACAGCTTTTCGGATATCATTCCATGCTGCCTCAGGGTGGGCATCACATACATGGCTGCCTAACTGTTTTCCTAGTTGTTCCTGAAATATACTCTTTGCTTGACCATCATTACGCAGGCCCCTAAGAGGTTTCCTTGCAGCATCTTTCTTACGTCCAGTAAGACGCAAGCAAATACGCGCTCGCACTAGAGCATGATCTGAATCTAGGCATGTGCTCCAGAATGAGCGACAGTCTTCTATCGAGCCCCTCCATCGGTGGCCAATAGCGATGTGATCTATTTGGGTCCAACGTTGGGACGAATTAGGGGATCGCCATGTTAAAAGATGTTTTTCCTTATGCTTAAAGTTAGTATTTGCAAGAAACAGGCGGTTATCTGAGCATAGCTGCAACGGACGGTCGCCATTATCTGTTCTTTGAGCCACGACACCATAAGATCCACCTAGGTGTCTTTCCCTATCGCTTAGTTTACCTACTTGAGCATTAAAGTCACCGGCCACTATTATCACATCCGAGCGCTTAGCTTTTCGGAGAAGGTCCGAAAGCTTTCTGTAAAACTCATCTTTTACATCACCTGAGCTGCAGTCAGTGGGAGAATAGGCACAGACGACGAAGAGGCAACGACGAGTGTCCCTATCTTTTCGGATCCTTACTGTTCCGTTCAGTCGGACAGCGCACAAACGACTGTCTACTGGGATCCAGTCTAAAAGAGCTAGTTCTGCCCTAGGACTCAATGCTATACCTACGCCGGCGAGGTCACGGGAAGCAGAATCAGGGCTTCCAGGTACACGAAGCGTAAATCGAGTCGGTTCTTTATTTTGGCATGGTGAAGTCAAATGAATGACGCTACTCGGATCCTGTATGCGCGTTTCGGAGACGCAGCACACATCGATGGCGCGGGATTCTAAAGTCTTAGCTAAGGAAGCCTGCTGTCCTATTTGGCACAGTGTTCGGACGTTAAAAGCTCCTACGTGTAGTTTAGAGCGTGGTTTCAGGAGACCAGGAATAGCGTTCCACGTACTCGAATCGTTTGCTCTAGCGGTGCGAGGTGATAAAGAGATGTGAGGAGGGTTAGTCATGGAGATAAGAGAGGTATTAGGAGGTGTAGGAAGGATTTGAATGTGACCAACTTGGTCTCGTGTGCTGTTACGGGTATGAGGGCTGGTGTCACTTCCCGGCTGCCCACACCGTGGAAGGGTATTTCTTGAGGAACCTGAAAAGGAAATTGGATTAGTGTTGGTCTTGACGACCTGGGAGCGTGACCGCAGAGCCCAAGGGACAACTGCTTGAGGCCGGTCGCGCACGGCCTTTTCGTGGGTTTTTTTTGACGTGTTAGCTCCGTTCTTCAAAGGGCCTTACCGCCGGAGACGGAAATCCGTGAGGTAAGGTGAGGTGTGACATTTTTAGGGTCGACCTTTTCTAACCCCACCCCTCCTTGTGGGAAGGCAGCATCGCTGTCATGCTGGTTGTCTGAGGGAAACACCTTACTGCTGTTACACCCCTCTACAGTCAGCAGTACGACTTCGCCCTCAGACCTTGAGTTCCTGCTTTTAGCCTTACCGTTCTCCAATCGACCTGCCTGGCATGGTAGAACCTACAGGAATATATGTTCCAGCCAATATAGCCCGGTTGGGTCATTACGTAGGCAAGCCCGACCACCGCGTCAAGGTAGCAGCTTCGGTCGGTATATATATATATATATATATATATATATATATATATATATATATATATATATATATATATATATATATATATATATATATATAGAGAGAGAGAGAGAGAGAGTGAGTGAGTGACTACCAAGTTTCGCAGAGGGTGTAAGGATTATGAGAATAAAATATCAATGATCAATCTTAAGTTGTCTCAGTAACAGAAATGGATAGTTTAGTTTACTTTTTGGTTATAATTCAATCGGGTTTAGGATATTTTTAATCTTTTAACTTGTAGTTTGGGAAAAAAATAAACGTGTTTGCAACAAATCATATCACAAGATCAACAAACTTGCCTTGTTCCAAACGAATTTGAGCTCCCTGGGCTGACTTTTTTATTAGGTTATTGTCATCACTATCACTTTCTAGTCCACTATTTGAATTAGACTCAGTAGAGATTATTTCACTAGTTGATTCTTGTTTTGATTTCTGAGCTCGACGAATAAGTCGATAATATGGAGTTTCAGTGCCAGGTGCCCATGCTGCTTGCGATAGTTTATTGTGTAGTTTCTGACTGTGTTTAGCAGTCCCTAGTGATAATTGGTATTCCTCGTCTATTGTACAAACAAGACTTCCACAATAATAACATGGACCTGAACCTTCCTGTGCACAGACTATACGACCACAATTTAAACAATTATTGACTAACTGATGCTTAGTTGCCAAACACTGACAAGGATGCCGACCAGGCAAGAGAGAAACGAGTTGATCGCTCTGAGCTCCTTCACAAAATAATGGATAGAACTTGGGTCTTTTTTTATTTTTAGTAGTTTGTGATGATGACTGCTCTACATCAATCTACACCATCCAGAGAGAAAATGGATTTATGAGGGGATGTATATTTACATATAAGTACAATTATTAGTGAGGCAAATTGGATATCGATTCTCAACATTACTGGTGAATTGATGAAGAATAGAGTTTCGGTAAGGATGCAAGAATAAGCTTTTCTCTTTTCCCACCAACGGAATCTGTACGATATGATACATACCAGACGTCATATAAGAAAGCGGGTGTACTTCACAGTAGTCAGCTGTGCTGTACTCTACAGTTGTGAAACATAACCACTGTGCTGTTATGAGATTTTCAATAACTATTTCGGAAGACGTATTAACCAACGGGGAAACCACCGGGTGACCCAAGTTAAAGTGTAAACCAAAGTAAATAGATACCATGTGGATACTGCCAGGTATAGAAATGAGGAAAACGTTAGTGATGATCAGACGGAGATATGACATCAGGCTAACAAACTACTTGGACATGATCTGAAGAGTATATGGAGTAGAGACCTTTGAAACAGAATCCATGAAATAATCGTCCGCAGTAAGGAGATTGTTTATGATATTCTATATCAATTACTAGTCCATTGAAATCTTAAGTGTAAGTTTTGCTGTCGACTGCTAACTAGCACAAACAAAGGTTTATGCTTTCCTGGCAATCACCTCTATCCACCTAATTTCCTTAAAGTGATAAACAGAATACACTGATTAGTATTACTATCCGTCAAACCGACACCTAAACTTTTTGCATATTTCTATGCATAAGGCAAATCCGAAATACGACGCTCCATGCATTATTATCATTGTTATTATGAAAATGTGCTTCCTTACCATTAAAAGTCACCAGACAATTAGAAACAGGCTTAGTTACTTATTGAAAAGTAGTAGGTCGAAAATAAAACATTATATGAATAAGAGATTGATTCTTTGCAATAGGACATTTAGATTACAGCACACTTTATAACCAGTCAGTGAAAGATATAATTGTTATCTTAACACAAATGAAGTGGTTTTCATTCTGCTTATGTCTGATATATGGGAAATTTTAATAAGTAAATTATCACAATCAGTGGACAAAACGGTGGCAATGACTTAACAGTATCTAAAGCAGAACTACAAAATTACTTTAATTTGGGGAAGATAATGAGAATTTTCGTGTAGAATAATTCGAATTACAAGGGGTTCCGCCAAGAAGTACAATTAGGGCCATTTATTTTAGGAATCTTCAAAAGTTTAGTTGATGAACAGTGTGTGGTCGCTAAAAAATGTATATTTCTAAACTATATATATGATATATAGATTGATTTTTATGATTTTCATTTTATGTACTCGGCTTTAGATAACACTTTTGGTGCAACGAGTGCCAAAACTAAAATAGGTAATACAGAGTTCAAAGCTTAGACATGATGGTTAAATGACATGGTTAGCTACTAAACAACCATCTAGTCAAAACAAGGAAATTGTTACTCATTGTGTAAATGATAAAAATAGTTCCGATATACCACATGTGATATTATGTTATCTAAAAATAAAACAAACCTTTTCTGAATTTGAAATCCTGTCGGAAGATGTTGATATATTATTTAAAACACCTGAACTACAATTAGATTTACGATAACCCTAGGAGAAAAAAACACATTTGAAGTGAAGTTAAATTATTTGGCACACGATAATAACTGGAGTTCACTTTATAAAATACGATGTTTAAATCACTTTAAAGTTTACATATGGTGCTAAATACAGACAACCATCGCACAATATCCAGAATGAGTTGTTTTCCTAAATAACAATTATATGAGCAAAGCTTTCCATATCGCACCAAGAAAATGATTTTGAATAATTTTCCACTGAAAGATTTGCTAGTTAGCAGCCCACCTAATGAAATAATCCGATCAAGAACGTATAATGCTATAACATTTGTGTAAATTATATCAAATGCAGTTTATTTCTTTTCATCTGTATACGATTAAAGCATATACCGAAATAGAGTAGACCATTTGGTGGTAAACTCCACTTATAATAAAAATATGATTAGATCAATGCACCCATGTCCAAGTTAAAGTCAAAATGACTATAACATGTTTGGTATTCTTGGACTTGACGTCATTAGATAATGTTAATCACACCTTTTTCGTAACTAGAGAATTCCCTATCTTATTTAATGGTACTGAGCGCTATCAGTTTAATTAGGGATTCCTTACAAACATTCTGAATACTTGAAAACTGCTGACCATCCCTCTGCTATGTTTGCTAGTTCCATTCACTTAGAACTCAGCAGCCAATGACAACACCGTATAGAGACTGAGACTCAACGCACAGCAAATAAAAGGCAACCAGAGATAAGTTAGATGGCTTCGTAAAACACTTATCGTTCGGTCATTCAGTTTCGGATTTTTTACCAACTACTTTTACTAATAAACCATCACCGGCACACAATTTCATTTTTTGCATATAAAATATTCCCATATATTTTAAACGTTGTACCGAAAGTGGATTAAATACTAATTTGTGACTAACAAATATTTTGCTGCATATACGTAGTAACAGCGAATAAACTTGTCTTTATTTTGGTTGAGTTCAAACAGTTTTTGTGCCCTTGCTCATCATATTCATAGGATAACCATGACAATCTGTTGCAAAACTCCGATAACAAGATTTTAGAGGTATGAATATTTTTAAAGACGTGTATTTGCACAAAATGTATTAATACTGTGATCTCATTGGTTAGATAAAGCACTACCATTATTATCAAATCATCTAATGAATCTCATGAAAGCTTCTTTCCAAATACTAGATTCTTTACAATTAATTTAGCTGGCGCTTTGACACTGTTCGCTCCTACTGGAAACGTATACACAAACTTACTACGGGAGGAGACAGTAGTTAGTTAAAACTAATTCCTCGTGCCATTATATATATAGTAATCTTTCATTAACATTTTGTATTTTACTGATGTTTACCTGTACAAACTATTTTTGTTTGTTTGTAGCCCAGTACCATTTACGTTCTAAAAAAACAACCGATAGAATTTCGTGTTACCTTTATCTTTAGTCTTGTTTGTTGTAATCGTAAATGGGTTAGCTGTGTTTGTTGGTCCAGCGGGTTAGATGCAATCATAAGTGAAATATGTAACTAATAGTCTCTTAACCGAGACACACAAATGCATTCGCTCCAATCAAATGCCTAAAATGCCAATGCAAGGAAACGCTGTTGAAAATTAATAACCAAGTGTATATACTGAGTAATTTATAAGCTAGAAAATTATCAGTGCTACAAACTGACCTCCCCAGTAAATCCACTTCTTCGTATCTTCTCTCGTATCAGAATTTCATAAACCTGACGATTTTCCATTTTACGAGTATCTAGTAGAGTAGATACACGTCTTTTTATCATTTGAGTATCATCAACTTCCATGCAAGCTCTGTAACAATTTATCAATGATACTTCTAAAGAAAGTAATTAAATCTACTTTATAAAATCCGTCGCAGCTTTTTCACCCAATGTCTTGGTCAATATACATTTTACTTTTTCCATTACGATCTGCGGAATAGGTGCACAACCATATAAATCGTTACTGGAAGTTAGAAAACACACATCTTAATTAAACATTTACAAAGTCAAAGAAATTTGAAAGTAGTTAGGGACTTAGAATTGCAGCCACTACCGTCCTAACCACAAGCCCATAGCTTTAGTGAGGTGTGGGAACAATCATGTATCGCCTATGGAAGAGATATAATTCTAGAGGGTGGGAAATCGGGAAGTACCGATTGTTTCCAGGGCTATTATCACTAGCAAGTTAACAATATCCACAATCAGACAGCAGACATGAACGAGGAAATACCACGCTCCAACATACAACCACTGTTCGCAAAACATAAGAAATAGGATTGGAATATGACGAGCTTTTAACATGAATCCTAAGCAAAACGAAGCAACTTTTTGTTTGAAGAAATAAGTACAAAGTTTAAAAAAAATGAGGTCCAATTTCGCTCAACAAAGCTTAGGGTTTATTGTAAGAATCCTGGAATTTGAGAACAAGTTTATTCTGGGTAGTGCATAATCTTTTGGAAGGCAAAGAGATAAGAGCGGGCCAAAGGTCGTGTCTATGATCTGTAGACAGTTGACTTTTCTATGCAACGTATCTTGTTCATTATTTCGCATTAACAGATCCTTCCTAACAGGTTGTAAAGAATGTACAAATAAATATTTTAAGAATGAAAGTCAACATACCGGACATGGTTACTGAAGTATTAGGTAAGGTGTTTTATGAAAGACTTGGATAGAAACTCATTACCTTTGGGATAACGAGTAATGTATAATCGTAGAACTAAGAATATCTTACCCAAACAACCAGTAAAGGGGAAATAAAAGCGAACAAAGGGGAAATAAAGGGGGAAAGTGCCAAAATGTCAACCTTTTCGACTGCCCGGGGGGAATAATGCAAACTTTCCCCTTTTTGTCGATGAATTGTCTACTTTTTCTCCAACTTTTAAAACACCACTGGCATAAACCCTAAGGTCTCCTATGTTCGCCTTTATTCCCACAACACACCACACTAAGACTGCAATCCACGTGAAAAACAGTATATGTCTAAATAAATTTATTGAAAAGAAAAAGCGTATTATTATACAACATTATTAACTATAGTTAATAGAAGAAAGATTTAGAGCAATTAGTCCCGTTTACGAATTTCTATAGAGCAACGAGAAGACGGAGTTGATCTGAAAAATGTGATGTATTTACGCCATACATTTAGAAAAAGCTGGTCAAATATATACTTTTGAAGACAGTTTATATGTAAAGGTCAATTAAACGAACGTCCAAGTAAAAACAGTAATGAAGGAGAGAGTGAAATAGCACTATATATAAAGAATAGGTCATTGTCACATTACCCTAGGTAACAAAAATGACTTAAGAATTACCAGGGTAAAATCAAGTTTACGACAAATTGTTTTTGTACACATAAATTTACGAATAGCCAAGGCTTCTATAAATCTGGTAATTCATCCTCGAAAATTTCTATACAACTTTTTAAAAGCTGTATTGGTATCAATTCTATGCCTCGTTTCAATTATATGTTTTGCTATCGATAAACATGGTTCTTACTTCCCACGTTGACCGGAACATTTGACATTAGTTGACCCGGACGTTGCTGCTACCTTAACGTGGTGGTTGGGCTTGCCCATCGTAATGAACCAATTGAGCTACAGTGGCTGGAACAATCGTTCTTCAAGGTTCTACCAAGCCAGACAGATCGGCTGAAGGACAACAAGACTAAAAGCAAAAAACCCGAGGTCCGAGGGCGACGTCATGCTGCTAACTGTAGAGAAGAGTGACAGAAGTAATGTGTTTCCTTCAGACAACCAGCATAACAGCGATGCTGCCTTCCCACAAGGAGGGATAGGGTTAGAAAAGGTCGACTCTAAAAATACACACCTCGCCTTCTCCTACGGGTTTTTGTCTCCAGCAGTAAGGTCTCAATAAACACAGAGTAAACACAAAATGGTGTGTGACGGCCCCAAGTAGTTGTCACTTGGACACTGCGGTCACGCTCTCAGGTCACTAAGATCACCTTTACCCAACTGCCTTTTCAGGTACCTCTAGAAGAACCTTTCCACGGTGTAAGCGACCGGGAAGTGGGAACTGCCCTCACACACTTGACAACACTCAAGATCATTGTACTCATAATCAATCTTCCTATTCAATTCCTATTAATCCTCCTACCTAGACTCTCAACTCTAAACTTCCTCTTCAAATGTCACCATAACCAGAGATTCTAGTGCGCAAAACACTGTCCCAGGTCTACTAAAACCTCACCCCAAACTACACATTGGAGCCTTCAACGTACACACCCTATGTCAAATCGATCATTGGACCTCCTTGACTAAAACCCTAGAATCTTGTACCATTGATGTATGCTATGTCTCTGAAACATGCATACAGGATCCTAGTGTGCTCATTCACTTGACCTCACCTCGCCATAACAGCGACCCGACGGCAAATCCTCGTGGACTGGCGGGTGTAGGCATAGCACCATGTACGAGGGCAGAACAAGCACACTTAGAATGGATCCTTGTTGTTCCGCTAAAGGATTCCGTAAGAACTCGGAAGAATAGGGACACACGTCGTTACCTTTTCGTCATTTCTGCCTACGCTCCCACTCACCGCGGCCCGGATGAATTGAAAGACGACTTTAGAGAAAGCTTTCTGAACTTCTTTATAAAACTAAACACTCAGAAATAGTACTCGTAGCAGGTGACTTTAGTATTTAAACCAACCAGAAAGAAATTTAGATGGGTACTTTAGTATTACCGCTCAGCGAACAAATAATGATGATCGTCTGCTGCAAATGTGCTCAGACAATCGTTTATTTCTAACAAACACTAATTCTAAGCATAAGGAGAGACATCGTCTAACATAGAGACTCCTGCATCAAATCAACGATGGACTCAAATAGACCACATTGCCATCGGTCATCGCTAGAGAGGCTCAGTAGAAGACTGCCGATCGTTCTGGGGTACATGTTTAAGCTCTGATCATGTTCTAATACGAGCACGCATTAGCTTGCACCTCAATGGACCCAGAAAAGCCACATTAGGGAAATCCATTAGAGTTGAACTCAACAATGAGAAAGACAAAGATAAATCCCAGGAACAACTGAAGTCACACTTAGGCAATCTCGAAAACGAAGCTGACCCAGATGTTCAGTCAGTCAGTAACAACGTAGAACTTCGTACATACGTACATCAGTTCGAGTTGCCACACCACATTACAACAGAGATGCAGTTGTCCATTCAAATCCCGCAGTGCTAGATGTAGTAAAATTATAAGCTGCAATCAGAAAAATTAGGGTTCGAAGATGTTATTCAAGGAGTATAATCCAGTGAAACAAATTCGAAAAGAGAAAAAAGAAAGGGACATGAAGAATTCAGAAGATTAGAATTTGCTATTCAAGGAGTATAATCCAGTGAAATAAATTTGGAAAGAGGAAAAAAGAAAGGGACATGAAGAATTCAGAAGATTAGAATTTGGGAGAACACAAAGAGTGGGTGCACCTGCACCACTGCAAACGATTTTGAGCCATGTTACTCAAGGTCTCTAACCATCGGTTGCTATCATCTCGTGGTCCCCAACCAGGTAGTCTACACCTACCAACATGACTCAGTCTACTTGTCAGTGACTTCATGGACTTGTGCCATGTTTTGGTCTGGCCGCCCCTAGCTTTCTTCCAACCTACTCCTATACAATAAAACATCGCACATCGAGGCAGTCGGTCGTTGGGCATATGTAACACATGTCCCAGCCATCTCAATTGGTGAAGTTTCACTACGTCATCAATTGATTTGCCATCCTTACCTAGTACCCGTTTCCTAACAACTGTGTTACTTACTCGATGGTCCCATGATATACGAGCAATGTTTCGAAGACACCTATGATCGAATACTAGTAACCTACGAATATCCTCTACTCTTACCGACCATGTTTCACTGCCATAAAGTAGGACTGGACGAACTGCTGCGCAGTAAACACGTCCTTTGGTTGATAGACCGATATCTCGCCTACGCCATAAATAACGCAAGTTGGCAAAAGCTAGTCGAGCCTTCTGTATCCGTGCTGAGATTTCGTCACACACCAGACCACAAGGGCTGATGAGACTTCCAAGATAAGTGAAGCGGTCGACACACTCAACTACTTCACTCCCTATCACTAGTTCGGGTGTCGATGTAACCCAATCCTGAAGCAACATTTTGCATTTCGAGGGAGAGAATCGCATCCCGAACATGCTTGCATTGTTGCTTAGAGTGGTCAGAAGACTCTGCATTTTGTCAGCGTCTTCATCAAATAAAACTATGTCATCTGCATATTCTAAGTCAACAAGTGAACCTCCCGGTAGAAGTTCAACCCCTGGAAATTTAGATGAGGAAAGTGTTATCTCTAAAAGTACGTCGACCACAAAGTTGAACAAGAATGGGGAGAGTGGACAGCCCTGACGAACACCACTTGTGGTAATCGATTCTGATGACAGTTCGCCATAAGCTCTCACTCTACCAGTTGTGTTCGAGTAGAGAGCCTTTATAAGGTTAATGTACTTCTTTGGTACTCCTTTCAGTGATGACAAACACTGCCATAGAATCCCACGGTCAACAGAGTCGAATGCCGCCTTAATTTCGAGATATACTACGATGGTGGGGCGTCTGAACGAGTGTCTGTGTTCTAGAATCTGACGTAGTGTGAATATCTGATCTATACAACCACGTCCAGGTCGAAAACCAGCCTGGTTTTCTCTAGTCTGCTCTTCACGAGCTTTAGTTAAGCGTCGAAGTATTATTGAGGCTAATATTTTAGACACTATATTAGTCAGACTGATTCCTCTGTGATTGTCACAAGAGGACTTTTGTCCTTTCTTATAGACTGGCACAATCAGTGATTGAGACCAGTCAGATGGGATTACGTCCAGTTCCCAAATTCTACCTAAGACCTCGGTTAATCTCATTGCTAATACTGGACCACCATCCTTAAAAATCTCAAAGGTA